AAGGTTTTGCTTCTCTGAGGTGGGAATCTAGGATGTGTGTGTGTGTGTGTGTGTGTGTGTGTGTGTGTGTGTGTGTGTGTGTGTGTACATAAGCATATCCGTGAGGTCAGAGGACAACTTTCCAGAATCAGTTCTCTCCTTCCACCTTGAGGTTATCTCTTGTTTTTGCCTACACTGTGTGCTCTAGGCTATGTGGCCCATGAGCTTCCAGAAGATTCTCCTGTCTTTATCTACCATCTTGCCATAGGAGTGCTAGGATTACAGACAATTGCCACTCTGTCTAGCTTTTTTTTTTAATTAATACATTTTCTTTATCCGTGTGTGTGTGTGTGTGTGTGTGTGTGTGTGTGTGTGTGTGTGTGTGCATGCACATAGCTATACCATGGCACACATGCAGAGGTCAGAGGACAACTTGCAGGGGTTAGTTCTCTCCTTCCACCAAGTGGGACCCAGGGGTCAAACTCAAGCCTTCAGGCTTGGCAACAAGTACCTTTACCCACTGAACCATCCCACCAGGTTGCATCTAGCTTTTTAAATGTGGGTTCTGGAGATAGACCTCAGGCTGTCAGGTTTTTGAGGCAAGTGCTTTTACACTGAGCTATCTCTCTGGCCCCCCACTGGATCTTAAGAAGTCCTATAACTCTAGAGGTGGACAGCCCATAAGACCTTCTTCTTCTTGTTGTATTTTGTTTGTCTTGAGACAGGCTCCCACTATGTATCCCTGGCCAATGTAGAATTGGCTATGCAGACCAGGCTGGCCTTGAACTCACCAAGCTCTGCCTGCCTCTGCCTCCTGAGTGCTGGAATTAAAGGCGTGCACCACCACCACCTCCAGCCTAGCAATCTTTTCAAGTATGTTAATTGAGCAAGTAGAAATGTTCATAGCAAGGAGAAGCCAAGGCAGGTATGGAAGGGAGGGTGCCTAGTCTTGTTGGAGGTGCTGATGGGACCAAGGGTCTTGGTTTTCAGTTGTTGACTTGGTAGCACTCACTTCCCCTCCTCCCAACACCTCCAGACCTGGGAGCTCCTGGTGAGCAATGAACATGACACGCAGGCCGTGGTTCGACTGAAGAACTTGCAGGGCCTCTACCTGCTGTGTGAAGCCGATGGTACTGTGTGGTACGGCAGGCCAAGGACCAGCCACCATGGGTGCTTCCTGCTCCGTTTCCACCGGAATGGCAAATGGACCCTTCAGTGCATTATCTCGGGTCGCTATCTGGAGTCCGATGGTGAGGATGTATTCTGCAACTCCAGGGTTCTCTCAGCTTACCATATGTGGACCCCTAGACCAGCCCTGCACATCCATGTGATCCTCTACAGCCCTACCTACCGCAGCTATGCCCGAGCAGACCACTCTGTGGGCCGAATCTGGGTAGATGCAGCAGTCCCCTGCCTAGAGGAATGTGGTTTCCTGCTGCATTTCCAAGACGGATGCTACCACCTGGAGACTTCTACACACCATTTCTTGTCTCATGTAGACCGGCTGGTCCCTCAACGCTCATCACAAACGGCTTTTTACATGCAAGTGCGCCCTAGAGGGCTTGTGGCACTGTGTGATGGAGAAGGAGGCACACTGTATCCACAGGGCACACATCTACTCCTGGGCCTGGGCTCCAATCCTACGAGGGGGGAGGAGTGGTTCATCCTACAACATTTCCCAACCTGGGTCAGCCTGAGGTCAAGGACACGGAGGTTCATCTCAGTCATGTATGGCAAGTACCGGGTCCAATACCACCATCCCTGTGGGGCGGGGTGGGGGGGAGGGGTTGTGGGGGAGGGAGGCTAGGTACTAAAACGGAGAAACTGTTCAGGATGTGTTCTAGTTTTCTTCCTGTTTCTGTGATTAAAAAATACCATGCTCAAAAGCAACTTGGGGAGGAAAAGATATTTGTTTTGTCCTGTTCTGGGTTTTGTTTGTTTAACTTCCTCCTGACAGGGCACTACCCAGGGAAGTAAGGAAAGGAACTCAAGCAGAATCATATCCCACCCACCCACCCACCCACGAGAAACAGCGCTTCCCAGCTTGCTTTCATGACTGGCCCAGTTTGCTTTCTTATACCACCCAGGACTATTTATTTGCCCAGGGGTGGTAGTGCCCATGGTGGGATGGGCCCTGGGCCCTTCCACATCAATTACTAATCAAGAAAACGCTCCCAACAGACTTGTCTACAGGACAACCTGATGGAGGCAACCCTTCAATTAAGATTCCCTATTTCCAGATGACTCCAGCTTGTGTCAAGTCAACAAAATACTTACTAGCACAGGACAAGCAAGACACTTTGAACTGAGGCATAAGAAAGATCCTGGGCCCCCAAGGAGACATCTCAAGAGGCAGATTAACAGATAAAGATATGGCTTTAAGGGAAAGTTGCCTGGACTTCTCTAGATTAGTATGATCTAGCAAAAGGTTGAGGAAGGAAAATACAGGGAACCCCACAATAAACATGGAGAAGGGGCTGGGACTGAGCTAAAAAGCTGCTTGTGTGCACTTCCTCTCTAGATGCTGAGGTGTGCGCTGCCTCTGAGCGCTTGACCCCAATGTCCTTGTTCCAGTATGAATGTGACAATGAGAGTCTTAACTTACAACTTCGTTCAGCCAATGGCTACTACCTGGCCCAGGTGAGACTTTGGTTTTCAATGCAAGAAACTATAAACCCTGAGCTCTCCCTGTCTAGACATACTTTCTCCTTCCCCAGTGTGTATGGCCAGATAAGATTAGGTAAGCTGTAGAGGTCCTACCCAATAAACATTCATTTTCCTCCACTGGGCCCTCTTTCCTTCAAGAAAAAAAAATTACTGTGGCATAATTTAAACAAACGTAAATGATATGATATATATGTAGTATATATTGTGAGTAAATTCATAAGTGATGCTATATGAATAAATTGACCTACTTTAAGTGTAAAATTCAACGTGCTTCAACAAATGTATATAACCATGCAACCATATCATAGCCATACCACAAGTCAGAGAACAGTTCGGCCACCATCGAATTCCTGACTGCTCCTCACCATCCGTTTTTCTCCATCCTTGGTCTTCTCACACCGCTGGTCTTTGCTTGTTCTGTCATTATATATCAGATGTGCCTGCTCTAGAATTTCATCGAAATGAACTCTTATGGTATATATGCTATACTTCTCTTGAAGGGCAGAATTTTACTAAGATCCACCCATGTTGTTGCATATATCAGTAGTTCATCAACGGTGCAGTCTCTCATACTCTTCACAAGCATAAACATGATTTGTCTGTCCATTCGGTTGTTGTTAAATACTTGGTCTATTATGAATAAAATTGCTATGAACATTTGTGTAAGAAGATTTTTGCAGACTTTTAATTTTGTATATCTTAGGTAAACACCTAGGAATGAAATTGCTGGGTCATATGGTAGATGTGTGTTAACCACCTCAAGAAAGTGTTCAGCAGTTTTCAGCAGGGTGTGACGCTGCATGCCTGTAATCCAGCACTTGGGGAGGCAGAAGCAAGTAGATCAGGACAGGTTATATATTGTTTGAGGCCAACCTAAACTACATAAAGAAAAATAAGGACAGAAAATATCAGTTTTCAAAAGTGACTATACCTTTTATATTTTTCCAGCAGGGTGGGCGGGTTCTAATGGTTGCCTGACCTTACCAGCCAGCCAGCACATATATTGCCTATCTTTTTCATTGTAGCTACACTAGGGACTGTGTAACATCTTACTATGTTTCAGTTTGTGTTTATAATATTTGTAAGTGGTTATCTAAGCATCTCTTCATATATCTATTTGCTAATTATGTATCTTCTTTGCTAAGTGTCTTCAAATTTTTGCCCATTTGTTACTGGGCCTATGGTCTTGTACCTAAATTGCATGAAATCTTCATATGCTCTAAATTTAAGTCCTTTGCCAAAGCTATGTGCTGTACATGCTTTCTCCAACCTATGTCTGGCCTTTTCATTTTCTCATTTATTTATTTATTTATTTATTTATTTATTTATTTATTTATTTTTGGTTTTTTATTTTGTTTTTGTTTTTGTTTTGCTTTGTTTTGTTTTTTAAGACAGGGTTTCTCTGTAGCTTTGGAGCCTGTCCTGGACTAGCTCTGTAGACCAGGCTGGCCTCGAAACTCACAGAGATCCATCTGCCTCTGCCTCCCGGGTTCTGAGATTACAGCCGTGTGCCACCACCGCCCGGCTATTTTTGGTTTTTTGAGACATGGCCTCACTATGTGCCCTGGCTGTCCTAGAACTTACTATGCAGACCAGCCTGGCCTCAAACTCACAAAGATTCTCTTGCCTCTGCTGGGTTTAAAGGGATGTGCCACCATACTCAGAGGCCTTTGCATTTTTTCAGAGTCCAGAGTGCTAACCATTACACCATGGAACCATACGGCCTTTGCATTTTTAAATGAAATTTTAAGAAGCAATTTTTTGTTTATAAAGTCCAATTTGCCAAATATTTAGATGTTTAATCCTTTTCCATCCCAATAAGTCACTGTTCAACCCCCAAGATGCAAAGTGTTTTTCTCATGTCCTCTAGATGGTTTATAATATAATTTTCACTTTAAAGACTTAAAAAATGATTTTGGTGCCAGGGTTGAAGTTTGTCTCTCCTTCTATGATATCCTGGCCCCATTGCTTTATACCTTTCGCTGGGTGACACGGAAGACGTGGAGGTGGGAGAGCTGAGGTCGCAAAATTATTTTCGTGGAGATCATTTTTTTCTTTCATTTTGACTTTACAAAGAGATTTTGAGGGGCTGGAGAGATGGCTCAGTGGTTAAGAGCACTGGCTGCTCTTCCAGAGGACCTGGGTTCAGTTCCCAGCACCTACCTCGTGGCTCACAACCATCTGCAATTCCAGTTCCAGGGGATCTGACCCCATCTCTGGGCTCCATGGGCACCAGGCATGTGGTACATAGATGTACAAGTAAAACATTCATCCAAATAAATAAATCGAAAAAAATATTTTTTTTAAAAAAAAAGAGATATTTGAAAGCATAAGGCATAGTCTAGAAAAGTACCGAGGCTGGGGAAAGGGAGGGTATGGGAATGGGGCCCAGCACTAAAACTGATGGGGAAAAATCTGAGGTTGTTAACCTTACTCCTGGTCCCTGATCCCCACATTTTCTCCAGAGGCGCCACAAGTCCATCATAGCTGATGGGCACCCCCTGGAGTCTGACACCTTTTTCCGTGTGCACTGGAATTGTGGCAAAATCATCCTGCAGTCCTCCAATGGGTGTTTCCTGAGCATCATATCCAATGGCCTGCTGATGGCAAATGCCACCATCCCAGGTGAGCCGAGTCTCCTCCCAGGCTAGCCCAAGTCCGGGATGCTGTGAGAGGAAGCTTTCACATAGGTCGTTGCATATGTATGGGGAGAGGAAGAAGATGAACATGGAGGTCAGAAGACCTCAGGATTCAGCTCTCTTTGTTTCCCCCTCTCATTTCCATCCCAGGGATGGAACTCGGGTTGTTAGGCTTCTGCGGCAAGCGCTTTCTTGAGTCATTTTTTAAAAAAGCTTTTGGAAGCAATGAGTTAACATCAGGTTTGGGTGTGTGTTATCTGTTCAGTTGCTGGAACAGACCCTCTTTGAGCTTCAGTTTTAAAGTTTGTGACAGACTTCTCTTCTGTTGCTTCACAGGGTTGCGGTGGGGATTAAACAGATTAACACATCCCAAAGAAAGAATATTTAGATTTCTTGTGCGCTGTGCTCTGCTGAGTGCCCTGGCAAACATTTCACAGGCACCTAGTATAAGACCTGGCGCACAGCATGTGCTCAGTAAAGGTTAAAAGACAAACAGCATTCTGGGGCTAGAGTGATTGGCAGCTCGGCGGCGAGCAAAATGCTTGCTATACCAGTGTGAAGACCTGAGTTGTGATCCCCAGCCCCCACATGAAAAGCTGGGTGTGGTGTGGGTACCTAGCACCTCGGCGCTGGAGAGGAGCGGACAGAGACTAAAGAATTGTTGAGGCTTGCTGCTGCCAACCTTTATGAAAAACGCTGAGTTATAGGTTCAGTCAGAAGCCCTACCTCAAGGGGATAAGGGAGGGAGGGATGGAGCGGGACACCTGACCCTCCTCTGGCCTCCACGCATGCGTATACACACACACACACACACACACACACACACACACACACACACACACACACACACACACACACACGCAAGCAAGCATACGGAAAAATACTGGCATCATCCTTGGGCACCGTTAGTGCTCCTTTCTTCCCTCTGGGAAAACACTTGAGAGAGCCAGCCTATCCAGATAACACCTTCCTGTTTCTTTCAGGGCCAAATGAGGAACTGGGGATTCGATTTGCCAATCGCCCCTTTCTCATCTTAAGAGGTCGGTATGGGTATGTGGGCTCCTGCTCAGACCATGACCTGATGCAGTGCAATCGAGACCAGCCTGACTGCATTCACCTACTGCCCTGCCGCCAGGGCATCTATCACTTTCAAGGTGAGTGATTCCTTCTCCCACCCAGAGACCCGCATCCAGCTCAGCCTCAGCCCCAGGCCATCCTTAGGGATCTGCCACTCCAGACACTGCTCCTCATAAAAACAGGGTTTCAGTTTGTTTCCATACTTCAAGTTTCCAGGGTGGAGTAGCGGAATAGGAATTGGTGAGGTTCCCAGTGGTTCTGCTGCATTTCTCTAAAAGAATCTATTATTGCGGGCAAGATATGATTCCCCTGGGAGGTGGGGGAGGATAGCATACTTCAGGGAACTCCCCTTGAAGGTTGCATGCTTAGAAAACTGCTTTCCAAATGGCCGACCAACTCTAGCTCTTCCCTCCCCAGCACAGGGTGGATCCTTTTGGTCAATAACATCTTTTGGCACCTTCCGCCCTTGGGGAAAATTCGCCCTCAACTTCTGTATAGAACTTCAGGGAAGCAACTTGCTCACGGTGCTGGCGCCCAATGGCTTCTACATCCGAGCCGACCGAAGTGGCACACTCTTGGCAGACAGCGGAGACATTACCAAAGAATGTATCTGGGAATTTTAGGTAAGGGAGAGCGGTGTCAGTCAGGGAAGGGGGGCGAGCACACAAGAGGAGAATGGAGGGGTGGGGAGGTTGTGGTGCAAAGGCTAAAATGCAGTAATGGACTCGCTTCTGTCCAGGAGCTGACCAACTCCAGGCATTTATTCCAAACCTGCACCATTCCTTGCACGCTTCTAAACCTGGTCTTGCTAGGGAGGGAAGAAAAGCATCACGCATCATGTCTGGGCTTCTTAACTGTTATGCCCCGCTGACTTGTGGGTCTTCAGGCAGGCCTGGGTGCCCTGTCTCCTTTAAGATGCAGAATTTTACCCCATTTTCCGGGGGGGTGGAACGGGTGACTTTGAGAATGTGTGTAGATACGGAGGGGCACTTCCGTCCTTACCCCTGGGTTTATCTCCAGCCCCGATGCTTCTCTGAAATGCCAACCTCCTTTCTCTCCAAACTGACGGTGATTTCAACCTCCCAATCCCTCTAAATCAGCATGACTGATTCCTGTCTGTAGTCCTCCCCTTCTGAGGCAATTTTCTTCTGCCATATCGTCCCTCCCAGCCTGATCCTACTGTCCTTCCAGGTGGTCAGAGTCAAAGCCTCGGTACTGCCTCTCTGAACCCCCTTCTGGCCGCCTTTCCCAAACAGGGCACATTCTTGGGAAAGTCCCTTGAGCACACACTCTTGTTTTATTTTATTTTATTTTATTTTGGTTTTTTTGAGACAGGGTTTCTCTTTGTAGCTTTGAGCCTTTCCTGGAACTCACTCGGTAGTCCAGGCTGGCTCGAACTCACAATGATCCACCTGGCTCTGCCTCCCGAGTGCTGGGATTAAAGGCGTGCGCCACCACTGCCTGGCGAGCACACTGTTATGATTACCACCACCAGTCTAGATACTGCTGTCATCACTCCTCAGGAACAGTCCCTGTCCCCAGATTCAATCCCTGCCAGTCTCTTCTGCACCCAAAGGTTTTAGATTGGTTTTGGTTTTGGTTTTTGTTTGTTTTGACTTTTTTGTTGTTGTTTGTTGTTGTTTGTTTTTCTGGACAGGGTTTCTCTGTGTGTAGCTCTAGCTGTCCTGGAACTCACTGTAGCCTAGGCTGCTCCTCCTGCCTCTGTCTCCCGAGTGCTGGGATTAAAGACGTGGGCCACCACTGCCTGCCTGGCTTGCACATCAAGTTTATTTTAACATGCACCTCCATTTCACCATTCTCTGTTCAGAACTTCAGGAGACTTCTTGTTCTTCAGTCCACCCTTTCACAGGCCCCATTTTCCTGCCTTGGAAAGTCAAATGAACTTTACAGAAAGTACTTCCGGTTTGCTGTGTTCCTGTAGCCCAGGCTGGCCCTTGACTTACTCTGTAGTCAGGGATGGCTTTGAATTCAGGATCCTCCTGCTTCAACCTACTGAGTGCTGATTACAGGCAAGCTCTACCATGGCTGGTTTTACATAATATCTGAGATGGAACCCACGGCTTCAGGAATGCTAGGCAAGAATTCTTCTAGCTAGAACTGTGACCTTAGAGAAACTGCTTTCACATTTCAAGACCTCTGTTCCCTTGTATGTAAAGTGGAAGTAATCTACACCATAGGAATTATCAAGGCTAAAAAACCAATCAGAAACTAACTATATAGACCCTCAGTATATTTCAGTTTTCTGCATGTTCTCTACACAGCCACCTTACTGTGTACAAACTGAGAAAAAATAAAATGAAATCTCATTAGGCTTCAACTCTTGTATCTATTTCATGAAGAGTTTGGTTTGACATAAATTTCTCAGGCTCTTCCCAAGCCCCACATTCTACTAGACAATGTGCTGTAGTGCATAAGAACTCAGTCTCTAGACTCAAAGCCTGTCCCTTGAAGGTGAAACAAGAATACGGTTTTGACCTTGGAGGGCATTGTAAGCATTACGTAAACAGTAAATGCCCTGTGAGAGCTGGCATCTACTACGTTCTTATTCTATCAGAAGTCAGGAACTCAGGTCAACTTCTTAGTAAACAGGGGCTTGTGCTTAACATGCTGGGAGGCCCTGGGTTCAGTGCCAGCATTAAACAAGACAAGACAAATACACAAAAGTTCTTAATACATGCTCTCCTGTTAACTACACAGCCTTTCACTGAACTCTGACGGGGGTTTTATTTTTCCTATAAATGAACCTCACACTTATTTAATGTTTCTCCTCATCCAGAAAGGGATAGATCACTCTATCCTCTCTCCTCTCATGGAATTGCTGAAGGTCCACTTCCTCTTCCTTTTCCAGGTCAATGGGATGCCGCCTGCCAAACTCTAAATCTTCCAGGCCTCCAGGAACAGAACAGGAGACCCAGAGTCAAGATCCAAGAGAAGAATATGTGTTGTACAATTTTTCCTACTGAGTTTAGCAAAACACCTGTTTCAAGAGACAATACATCACAACAGGCCACCCCCAGATCCGTATGTGTGTCTGACTCAGGCACATAATGTGTGTCTGATTTGGGAGACATGGGATCTGGAATATCCCATTTTCTCTCATTGTAGAAAGTGCATGTACATATGAATGACATGATAATGGAAGGAGGACGATGAGGAATAAGGAGAGACCTAAATGGAGGGGGGGGGGAACAAGGGAGGGTAAATGACAGGAAAGAATGACAGATGTTGCAGGTTTTCTCTCATATGTAGAATTTGGGTTTAAATATACACACAAGCCAGGTGGTGGTGGTGGCACACGATTTTAATCCCAGCACTTGGGAGGCAGAGGCAGGTGGATCTCTGTGAGTTTGAGGCCAGCCTGGTCTACAAAGTGAGTTCCAGGACAGCTAGAGACAGAGAAACCCTGTCTCAAAACATAAATAAATAAATACACATACACATGCATATATATGTCTATATTTAAAAGCAGAAGGAGAAGGAAAGAGACCATTGGAAAAGTGGAGAGATATGAGGAGGGGAGTGCAAGTGAAGAGGAGCAGGATAAATGTGTATGTATGTATGTGTGTGTGTGTGTGTGTGTGTGTGTGTGTATACACACACACACACACACACACACATATATATATATATATATATATATATATATATATATACACAAAAGTGTCAAAATAAAACACATTATTTAGCTGGACATGATGATGTATACCTGTAGTCCAGTACTCAGGAAGCTAATAAGTTCCAGGCCAATTTAGGCTACACAGTGGGAACCTGTAAAAACCATACACACATCCCCACTACAACACAAGCCACACAAGCATTATTTTGAATACTAGCTAAAAATAAGAATAAAAAAAAGAAGGCCAGAAGACTGTCTTCCCATGATGCTATAAGTTCTACCCAAGAGGAAGGAGCCTGATGGTTACCACATGCTTCTCATCCCCCAGCCCAAATTAATAAACTTTTCCCAGTGGCCCCCCTGAAGAACCAGCCTTGCCTTGAAGGATTCCGAATGCAGATGTGACTTGTAAATGTTTTTTAGACTCTTCTCTGAGGAAGATGATTTCTCCTGCTCTCAGCATTCCTTAGTTGCCTAAAGTTCTTTGTCTAGGGATGAGGCCCCGTGAGATTTCCCCCTTCTTTGTTAGCATGTTTGTTGGTTATCCAATACCAAGTGGTCAGACACAAAATCATATAAATACAAGTAACATTCTATGGGCTGAGTGGGATGTATATGTATGTGTATGTATGGATGGATGAATGGATGGACGGATGGATGTGTGTATGTAACAATTAAAAAGAGGCCATCATGCCTGGAAATCATGTACAAAAAAACCTAGCTAGCCAACCTGAGCTATTGAAATCATGGATCTTGAAGGAGAACCTATAACCACTACTTTACTAAATCAGCATAATCCCTAACTACATTCTAAATATTCTTTTTTTTTTAATGCTGAATGCCATTTATTGAAGGAGAGAAGAGGTCTTGAATACAGGCTTACAGTACAATGGGAGAACCCTGGAGGGCAGAAGTTCGCTACAGATGTTTTACAATCTTGCATCTAAGCTGTTAACACCCATTATGCAGAATACATAGATGAGGAACTTCCCTTAAGCATTCAGGAGGGTGAAACCCAGGAGGGAATTAGCATAGGGAGGATATCAAGGTCAAGGTCAGCAAGCAAGGCAACAGTTATCCAAAACGGGGGCCAGGGCCCTACAGGTCCCCCTTTTACTAATAAATGAGCTTCTGACTTAGGTTGCGTGAGATATCAGCAGGTCACCTTGCCTGTCATGGAGACGCCTGCCCAGGCTACACAGGCACTCTGTCTTAGGTTGGTGAGCGCCCCCCAGGCATTACCCATCTCTGAATACTCATTATCAAACAGGCTCAATCATGTAGCCAGAAGTTTTCTCCAGTCCTGCCTGGCCCCATAGTCCTGCAGCCACTTATAAAATAATCACTCAGAGGTTTAATATTATTTACAAACTGTATGGTCAATGGCAGGTCTCTTGCTAGCTAGCTCTTATATCTTAAATTAACCCATTTCTATTCATCTATGATTTGCCATGTGTTCTGTGGCTTACCAGTCTGCTAGCATGTTAGTCCTTGGGTGGAAGACTGGCATCTCTCCAGCCTCCACTTTTCTCTTTTCTGTCTCTCTCCTTTTCTGCGTGCCTCTAAGCTGCCTTGCCATAGGCCAAAGCAGCTTATTTATTAACCAATGGGAACAACATATATTCACAGTATATATTCTCACTGAATTTGTCAAATGCAAATGGACTAGACATTGTTGATGTATTCATTGCCTGTATATTTTGTATGTTGTTACTGTACTTATTGTATATAGTTTTTGTTATATTATAACTTTTTTTTTTATCTTAAACAGAAAACGGGGAAATGTGGTGATAATTTATTTGTTCATCCCAATAAAGCTTATCTGGGGAACAGAGGAAAAAGCCAGTCACTATATTAAATATAGAAGTCAGGCAGTGATAGCACACGCCTTTAATCCTAGCATTTGGGAGGCAGATATTTACCTAGATATCTGTGAGTTCAAGGCCACACTGGGAATAGAGCCAGGCATTGTGGCACATGCCTTTAATCCCAGTGCTAGTTAACCATAGAGGTCTGGAGGTCTGTACAGAGAGACAGGAACTGATAGAACTGAGCAGAAAAAGGAAGTGATGTAGCTGGGCAGAGAGAGGAAATAAGATGACAGAGCACAGAAAAGCATATAAAGCATGAGTATACAGGAAGTAGCTCTCTCTTGGCTGAGGATTTCTAGCAGTAAGAATGTGGCTGGCTTCTTTCTGCTTCTCTGATCTCTCAGTTTTCACCCCAATATCTGGCTCCTGGTTTTTTATTAATAAGACTGTTTAGCGGGGGCTGGAGAGATGGCTCAGTGGTTAAGAGCACGGACTGCTCTTCCAGAGGTCCTGAGTTCAATTCCCAGCAACCACGTGGTGGCTCACATCCATCTGTAATGAGATCTGGTGCCCTCTTCTGGCCTGCACGTGTACATGCAGGCAGAACACTGTATGTATAGTAAATTAAAAAAAAAGACTGTAGCAATTCGTCTTACAGGAAAGGGTAGAAATAATGTAGCCATATTACAATTTCAAAAAAAAAAAGAATATTATAAAAATACCTTTAGGTTTAGAACAAGAATGAAAGAATGTCCACCTTATGAACATGGGCACTGTTAACATCTATGTCCATACAGCCCTCCCTTTCACCTCCCTGGCTGTCCATCAAACCTCCTTGAACTATCATTAGCTTTGATGCAGTGAAGGAAGGAGCAGAGTAATTCCCTTACCATTTCTCACCTCTACAGGGAGCTGGAGTACTTGGTCTGAGGGCCCATAACTCATTGCAGCAGAGCTCAGCCTCTAACTCAACTGTGACTGATGTCTACTATTCTCCCATTAAAGCAGGACTTCCAGATGTATGCCTGTCTTTCAGTGTCTTCATTGCTTTATCTACCTACCACTTGTCCTGTTAACATTTTAATTCACAAAGATTCTTTTTTTAAAAAGATTTATTTATTTATTATGTATACAGTGTTCTGTCTGCATGTATGTCTGCAGGCCAGAAGAGGGCACCAGATCTCATTACAGATGGTTGTGAGCCACCATGTGGGTGCTGGGAATTGAACTCAGGACCTCTGGAAGAGCAGTCAGTGCTCTTAACCTCTGAGCCATCTCTCCAGCCCCTCACATAGATTCTTAAATACATTTGTTTAGAAAAGAATATTTTTATCACTATCATAAAACAACCCAAATCGCTTGCCGTAAATACAAAGTGACTACAAAAATAAGCACAATGAAAAAACAAAGCAATGCTATGAAATCCTAGATTAGATTTCCCCTCCCAGCCCAAGCTGAGCACTAGTCTTTCGTTTTGTTAAGGTTAGCAACTGTTTAAAGAGGCAATGATGGACCCACGTGATACTTTCTCCTGATATAATCAGGATTGAAAGTGTTCAAAAAGTTATTACTTAACATAGCAAGCTGCCTCCTAAAACCAGCATCCAGGTCTCCAACTTTGGGCAAATTGCCCCATATGACAATCAATGCTTACTCTTAAAGTCCTCTGATGAGAAAAGCTAAAATAAAAACATGAACGATACTCAGTTTGGAGAGAGGAAATGGCCTTAGGTTTCAGTATTTCTTCTCAAGATTCCTGAAAGAATTATTTTTTTTAAATTCAATGTTAAATAGAAAGTGCTAGAGAATAGGAGGCCTCTTTTCCAAGACAGCATTAAACACTGACACCAGGAAGAGAGTGGGCCTGCAGCCCCAGCAACCTGAAAGGATGAAGCAGGAGAATTACTTGAGCTCAAGAGCTGGAGGCTGTCCTGGGCATTGTGAGACTCTACTGCAAAACGGGGCTTATCTAAAGAGATAAGACATCTTGCAGGTCATTTAATACAAAAGCCCTTCCTCAGTGTTCTGTAGACACATATCTACACATAAAACTGAGGGAATGTGTGTGCATGGGTGTACACAGTAGTGTGCAAACGAGCACGCACACAATCTGATGTCCAGTTCCCCACAAGTGACCCTTCATCCTTTCCTCGTTTGCTCACTTGTGGGCCTCAGCTGAAATAAGGCAGCTCCCACCGTCGCTGACGTCAGGCCTGTTGCTGAAACGTGTGGCTGTTCTCCAGCTGTGCCGCACATTGTCTTCTCATAGCCTAGCCTGTTTCCCTGGGCCGCTCTATCAAGCAGATCTCCATCTCAAAAGCGGAGGAGTCAGGGGAGGGGCAGGCTGTGTCACATTAGTCATCAAATGGCAGCCAGGGCTGTTGGTGGAAATGATGCTCCATAATCTGTTCTGACCCACATGTGGTATTGGAAACGTGGCTGGTTCAGTGGTGGCTAATTGTTCATTTTAATGTGAATTACATATAAATAGATGTGTAGCTACTCACTAGTTCCTGAACCGCCAGCTTTGGAGGATTTGCTAATAAGACTAGTTGAAAGACAAGCTCTAAATCAGTGCCTACTCCAGGGGGGACACACAAGCACGCTCCCACCCTGACCCCTGTCGCCACCACGGCTATCCACCCTCTGCCTCTCAGAAGAGGAAGGATTTGTTGGGAATTTGCAGCATATACCTATAATTCTAGTACTTGGGAGGTTGAAGCAAGCAGGAGGATCATGAATTCAAAGCCAGGCTGGAATTACAAGGGAAGAGGGGGAGGGGAGAAAGGATTTAGAAACAAAAGCCAGTCTTCCTTTCCAAATATCCCCGTACTCAACTTCTCTTCTCTGGCTTCTTCCCTCTTCTCACATCCCAAGACTACCTTGGAGAAGCCTGCAGCTTTCTTTGCAGACAGACTTGAGAAGATTGGGGACTCAAGTGTGCCCCTGGAGTTTGTATACATGACAGCAGAATCTCAAAATGTCATTTCCATTCTGCTGCTCTGTCAAAAATATACACGCAATTAGGAAATTGATGTTTACTTGTTTAGACCAAAGTAAATTGTCTTGGCAGGTGTGGTGGCACACACCTTTAATCCCAGTAGTTGGGAGGCAGAGGCAGGCAGATCTCTATGAGTTTGAAGCTAGCCTGGTCTACATAGTGAGTTGCTATACTACTCATACTATACATACTACATAGTGAGACTCTGAATCAAAACAAACTAACAAACAAAAACAAATAAATAAGAGAATGATAGTAAATTTTCTTAGGTGTGGCTATTATGGTTAGTTATGTAAGTAACATCTCATTTACATGTTTTCTTCAAACCTGCACTGAGGACTTAAGATGAAATGCTATGATGTAATACGATGTGTGCATATCCCCAATACCTAAATAGATCAATAGGTACATATATATCTACATACATGGGATTGATAGACTCATTGGTATATAGATAAAGATAACTCAATGCAATACATATATATATATATATATATATATATATATATATATATATATTAGATAATAGGTGATAGACAGACAGACAGACAGACAGATAGGGGTACATTGGTGTTTGTGAAAAAAGAATAATAGCAAGAACTATTGCTAACTTTAAAAAAGTTTTATTACTGCCAAATGGAGTCCTCTTATAGCCAGTATGAGTAATGGGTCGATGCTGCTTCTCCTGGCCCTCCAATCAGATGATATACAGGAGGGCTGGTGAGGCAGGGCCAGGCAAATTCCATACATGAAGAAGAAGCCACAGGGAGGAGGCAGTGGCAGTCTGTGTGGGGGAAATAATAGTGTTAGATCCTGCCTGTCTCTGGGTCTCTCGCCTTAGCCCAAGTCTTACAACAGTGGGGCACCAGACAGATGAGGGCTGAAGTGTCACCAAGACTAGTGACAGGGCCAGTGGTAGGGAGAGTAAAGGTGGCGAGGAAGGTAACACCATGCAAGACTCTGTGGAGCTCGCTCGGGCTTTTCCCCCACATTAACGCACTCACTATGGGTGTGTACGTGGGTGTTCAAATGCATGCCTGCATGTGTACAAGCAGGGGAACTTGGGCTTTCCCCATACACACATTCATTGATCTACCATTTATGTGTTCAAATGCCTGCATGTACACAGCATGTGCAAAGCACACTCGTGGAAGCCAGAGGACAACTTATGGGAGTCAATTATCTCCTACCATGTGAGTTTCTAGGATCAGACTCGGGTCATCAGACCCAGTAGCAAGTGTTTTTACTTGCTGAGCTATCTCACTGGCACCCGAGTTGGGCTTCTCAGTCCTACCAGCCTCTCACAGTCACTGAAGAGGAGGGCTGAGATATACTTACCTAAGGGTATAGACACTCAGATCTCAATACCACTTCCTTTGCCTTCTGTAGGTGTCAGAGCTACTATGGACTCCCCAGCCTTAAGAGCCACACAAGGAATGAGGGAAGCTGTTTTGAGAGATTCCTTTGGTATCCTCAACTGGAGAACCACACCCTCCCACAGAAAAGGTGAAGAATACCCACAATACCCCTCCCCACACCCTCCAGGATCTGCACTGGACTCTGGGCACACACAACCTGTTCTCAATTCTTACCCCAGCAGGACTGGAGACAAGCTTGGGGTGGGGTGTCGCTGGCACACCTGTCTGGTGCTGTCCCCCAGCACAGCTGACAGAAGGAAGGACTCAATGGTTCCAGCACAGGCAGGGCTGCTGAGGGCACACTGCCAGGGGACGGCTAGAGAAAGCAAAGTTGAGGGTCTTCTCAACTGCTAGTGAGTCTTCCTACTCAGAAAGTCTGGGAACCAAGACTGAATAACCCTCAAGACACCTGCCCGCTCCGCCCCCCACCCCCACCCCCAGGCTGTGTCCTACACTCCAGAGGATGCTATTCATGTGGGAGACCAGGGGATAGCACTGTGTAGAAATCCACTGTGAAGGCCTTGACTACCCATGGATTTTACCCATACCTTCACCAAAAATAGGAAAGGCCATGAGATCTTCAGTCAGTCTTCCCAGTTCATAAACACCCCTCTCCTCTCAAGTACCTGAGCAGAGGTGATCCCTGGGGGAACTCTTGGTACCATCAGATCCTGAGAAGCACCTACAAGATGAGGGTGGATCCACTCAGAGGGAGAAATAGGCATGGGGACCTGGGGTGTGGTAAAAGACAAAGGTTCCAGGAAAGGTAACATCTTCTTACAGAGTTTGGAAGAAACAGATGTCACAAACTAGGCTGTCTTCTTCCCAAAACAGGCCTTAGGAAACTAGAAATAATAAAGTTCAAAGGATGATCCTAAGGACTGAGCAGTCCTTAAGAACAGGGTCTACGTATACCCAGGATCTAGTACAGAGCCAGGCACATGAGGTTGCTAGGTAAATGTGGATGGACACATGGATGGATGAATGGGTGGATGGGTGGATGGGTGGGTGGGTGGGTGGATGGATGGATGGATGGATGGATGGATGGATGGATGGATGGATAGATAGGTGAATGCATGGATAGATGGATAAGTGGATGGATGGATGGATGGATGGATGGATGGATGGATGGATGGATGGATGTGAGTGGACAGATGGATGGGTGCATGGATAGATGGATGAGTGGATGGATGGATGGATGGATGCATGCATGCATGCATGGATAGATGGATGAATGAATGGATGGATGGGTGGATGGATGGATGGATGGGTGGGTGGATGGATGGATGGATAGATGGATGGATGAGTAAATGGATGGATGGATGGATGGATGGATGGATGGATGGATGGATGGATGGATGGATGGGTGGGTGGATGGATGGGTAGATATGCACAGAAATCACCTGGCAGCTGTGTTTCCCACTTCAGCTTTTCTTGCCTGCGCCATTTGGCTCTTCTGTTGGAAAACCAGACCTGAGAGAGAGCAGGGACTGTATCACTGGCTGTTGCTGTGGGATGGTCTGTATGTCAAATTGTTCTGATTGGTCAATAAATAAAACACTGATTGGCCAGTGGCCAGGCAGGAAGTAGGTGGCCAGGCAAAAAGTAGGTGGGACAAGGAGAGAGGAGAATTCTGGGAAGCGAAAGGCTGAGGGAGAGAGACACAGCCAGCTGCCGCCATGACCAGCAGCATGGAAAGACGCCGGTAAGCCACCATCCACATGGCAAGGTATAGATTTATGGAAATGGATTAATTTAAGCTATAAGAACAGTTAGCAAGAAGCCTGCCATGGCCATACAGTTTGTATACAATATAAGTCTCTGTGTTTACTTGGTTGGGTCTGAGCGGCTGTGGGACTGGCAGGTGACAGAGATTTGTCCTAATTGTGGACAAGACAAGAAAACTCTAGCTACAGGCTGTGTTTTCAGCCACCTGGCACCAGCTGCTCTCACCATGTGTCCCTGTCCTGGACTCAGAAAGTAGAGCCTTCCTCCACCCTGACACCCTCTCTCCCTGCTCTGGCCTTTGCTCTCTGTCTCCTTCCTCACATGAAGGCTTGAGTGGGGGAAAGAAGAGGGCAGTCAACAGAAAAACAGGGACAATTTTTTTCTTTTCATCCTCTTGCTGTTGTCTCTACCTTAGCAGACCCAAAGCCCTGGTCAGTACATCCTTCTCCTTTACAGTTTCCTCAGACTGTATTACAGAGCTCACTCACCCTCACTGTGTCCTCAGGCAGAGAAGTGGCAGCAGCCAGCTTCCCACGGGCCACTGAATCTGGATACTGCCCACGCTGGAACTCTATAGAGACAGAGGTTCCCACAGCGAGGGTAAGGGAGGGAGCAAGGCATGGTCTCTTGTCAGTCCCCACTCCCCACCTCTTAAAACCCTAAACAACCCTTCTTCCCAAGGTCAAGTCACCCACAACCTGGACCCTTCAGCCTTTGCCCACAAGTCTCAAGGCTATAGCCTTGTTGCCATACCAAGAACCTTCTGTTCCACTCTCTACCCCAGCCCAGCACCTTTCTCCAGGGCCTCAGCTTGGCCTGGGGAGAAGATAGTCCGATTCCTGTGGCTGATCCCTGGATGGGGACCTCGGGGAGCCTCACAGCTACTGTAGGGATCAGGAAGAGCTGGAGCCAAAACAGCTGCAAAGGAGGACGATGTCTTATGGCATTTGTGATGTTGACTTTTCTGTTCTATGGGGTCTCTCACTAGACAACAACACAGGCATAGAGGCAGAGCGTGGCTAGAGGAGACTGCAGCTCCTTGACAGTTGCTATACAATGTGCTCAGTATCTTGGTGCTACTTAGGGAAAACAGTTGTTCCATGCTTGATTGACCCCATAGAATATGGACGACGTTCTGAGATGCTGAACAGGAAGCAGAGGAAGGGTATGAAAGGCCCAGTCTAGCCTTGCCCTTAGCAGTTGGTGTCAATCCAGGAGTTCAGGGATTTAGGTTCTGTTCCAAGACATGCCAACCACTGGCTGATGCCCGAGCAAGTAACTTCATTTTCCTGAACTTCCATATTCCACCAGGAGAGAATAAAGCCATCTGCTAGACCCTCTTTAAGGGAGTGTTGGGAGGGTGATTGGAAAAAGAATGAGGATTCCTCGGGATGGGCAGAAGGAAGAGCTATAAAATGCTAAGAATTTGGCTCTGGTTATCTCCGCTGGCAACTCTAATACCCACCTGGTAGTCTGAGTTGTGTCCAGTGCAACTTCTGGTCTTCCTGTAGTGCCCGAAGGACTCGGTTGATAGAGGATACCTGGGGGTATTGGGGTACACATTGGGAAAATGGTGTGTATACCCAGGATTGCGTCCCGAAGATTCTTTGCCCTCTACTCACCATTCAGAAGGCTAGCTTCCCCTTTCTCTCCCCATACTTCCTCCTCAGTTCCCTGACCATCACCACTTTTCAGAAGAGAAATTTGTGAGTCGAAAGGCTGATTCCAGCTTCCCCTAACACCAGGCTGAGATACCAAAATTGTCAAGAAAAAGGAATCTTCTCCCAGTCTACTGGCAAGCCACAGAGTAGGGAGAGGGCACTTACACTGGGAGCCTTGTCCTGGGTGCAAAGCCCTTCAGCACAAAGCTGGCGTTGGATCTCCCAGGCAAAGAGCGCTGGACACTCATCCTTGAGCTGAGCAATTCGAGCCACCACAGCTGGTGTGGCCAGACGTGGCTTGCTTCCCCCAATACCTTTGGGTTCCAAGACACCTGTGCGGTAGTAACGTCCTAAGATCTTGCTCACGCAGCCATTAGATACCTGAGTCAGGTGAGAAGCAAGAACAGGACACAGAAAACATCATAGGTAGAAGGAAGCTGAACATTCCTGGGACAGAAGGAAGCTACAAGGCAAAGCTACATGGCTTACTGAACCAAGCCATGGAGTTGAGAGGCTAAGCTCGTCTTTGGGCACCTAAAACTCCCCTTCCCAACCTCCAAGAGGGTCTTCTAGGAGGAGACCCTTGGGGTTCAGCTCCAAACTGCTGCCTTAAGAGAGGTCCTTGGTGCCTGGTTCTTTGTCTCCATCACTGGATAAAGAGTTTAGCACTACCTTAAGGCTCCGTGAGATGTCACAGGGTCGCATCCCACTCATTGCTAGATGCACAATCTGCTGCCGAGTGTCCAGAGGAAGAGGCCGGCCATTCACAAAGAGTCCCCCCAGCTGATTCACACTGCTGATTCCTGGGTATTAGAGATAAGCTTCAGCACACTGCATTCATCCTGGTCCTCACCCACCCTTGCAGAAGGTCACAGGTTTTCCATCCTGGTCTGCTATCATATAATGTCTTTCTCTGAGACTGTGCCCACCTTTCCCCAGAGTCCTCAAAACAAGCCACTTTCTTTAAGAGCTGGTTATGTCCTAATCCAAAGGAAGCAGAGTAAAGCAGGGAGGGAGCAAGTGGAGAAAACTATGCCCAGAGTATTGGCTAAGGACAAATGAAATTGTGTTATTGGGAGTCAAGATCTGGAGGCAGTAATGTATCTCTGAACCCTTCTATATTCTTCCAACTTCTCCCAGACCTCTCACCGTCCTGCTGCATGCTTCACACTGGTCCTCCTCACAGAAAGACAGGAAGCCAACGGGCAGGCTGAAAGGGGGAGCTTCTAGAAGTTTCCCTCCTGATCTGGTTCTGCAACAATATCGGGTTATTTAAGTGTGGTCTCTTGAAATAGTCGAGGGATGGAATGTTCGTGAGAGGGTCAGCAGGCTGGCTAACACTACAGCATTAAAATTCTGTTAAGTTCTTATGTGATGAATATCACAGGGCCAGCTGAGGGCTGGATCTTTCCTAGTAAGGAGGCTGGGGGTGAGTAGGAACCAACTTCCCACGTATCTATTAAAGAGGGGTTGGGAGGTGGAAGAGACCACTCCTCTCAGTACTTGGCCTTTCTCTCCACGAAGTAGACAACTTGACATCTGACCAGTCATAAGTCAGTGCCTGATTGACACACTTGAGCCAAAGATTCTGGTTCTCAAGTTCAGGTTTCACTATCAGGAAGTCCTAGATTCAGTTTTCAAAACTACCATCAAAGGCTTCCTTCAAAGCACTTAAAGAAAGCCTTACCCTAGTTTTTTTTTTTTTTTAATCTCCTCCAGGAAGCTCTAGGGGTAAATTTGGGGCTCAGCTCTACCTTCAGACTGGGATCTGGTCCCACACACTGGAGAGAGATCCATAAAGCCTGAGGTGATGCCTTCTGCTAGAAGACACACCTCAGAGCAGCTTCTGAAGTTGCTGGGGCTGTTGAGTCTTTTGAAGAAGTCTAGCTACCACAGTGAAGCTTCATTTTCAATGACGCCTTCCAGACATTGTATATATTACTAACATTTCCTGACAGCATTTGGAAAGAAAGGAATGCTGTCTGCTTATTGGGAGCAGAAGCCATCTTGAACACAAGAGAGTCTGCGCAGCAACAGCCAGTCATGACTTTTCTGCTTTCAACAGCAAGTAGAAGGAGTTGAAGCTGTCTCCTTTCATGCCTGGAATCTTGGCAGAGCCATAGGTAACTCCAGGGAACAGCTTATCCATGGAACTTTCCTGAAATAACCATGCTGCCTTGGCTCAGTTAACAGCAATTACTTAGCAAATAGGGGTATTAGGCATGAGCACATTGCTGTTTGTTTGGGACGAAGTGAGGGGAAAAAGGAGGACAGAGGCTAGAAAGTCAGCTACATCTGAGTCCTTGATGGATTCCTTCCTTTTAAATGGAGATCACAATGCAATAGGAAGAGAAAATCAGCAGGAAGGAAACACCAACGAACCCAGAGCCCATTGGCTTCAATAGTTAAGGTGGCTTTTATTCCTTTATGCTTAGGCATTGGGAGAAATACCCCTTCAGTCTCTCAACATTCCAGAAACTCAGTAAGAAAGTCGAATTTCCCCCCAAAGAAAACAGAGGCACAAACTAAGATTAACATAAATCAAGACCCCCTCAGAGAATAAAACTCAAGGTTCAGAAACCAGCTCCCGAGCAAGAAGTGAAAAATTCTGGCTCCAAAGCATAGAATTCTTTCTCTCTGTCCCCACCCCTGCTTCATACTTGGGCAACTGCCATTTAAGAAATGGGGAGGGAAGGTTGAGCTGGGGATGCAGAGGGCAGGGGATGAGGGCTTAGACTATCAGCTAAACCAGGGTCAAAGTGACTGTGGAACACAGGTTCAATATTCTCATCTAAAAGACCTCCAAACCAAAATGAATTACACCCTAACTCACAAAAGGAGACCCTATTTCCAACAGCCTCCCACACATTCCCAATATTTGTGGTAACTTGTCAGAAAAAAAATACCTTATATTCATTAGAGGAAAAGCAGGTTAAGGAGTTGAAGGGGCAGGAAGGTGAGTAACTGTAAAGACAGGAGGGAGCAAGTTGAGTTTGGCCACACAAAGGCATGGAGACAGTATGGGAGGCAGAGCAGACAATGAGCATGCTGGTGAGCTAGCTACCTGGGTGGATGAGAGGAGGTGGGGGCTCCAGTGAGAGGTCTCAGGCTCCTGTGCAGGCTCCAGGGGTTGGTGGTGGTCTGGTCTGATGATAGTCTCCACTCTGCTCTGCTTCTGTCCAGCCAGGGGGTCCAGAGCTACACAGAGCCTGTGCTCAGGAACAGAGGGCAGCCTTCTGGGAGTAGCCAGTGATGTCACAGGCCATGAGCAGAGGAGGAGGAGGGAAGTGTGTATGGGGCTGGCTGACACTGGCCCTGAGGCAGGGCAACCCACAACCAGTGACCCACTGTGTCCCTCTGTGGGGCTTCAGAGTCCACCTTGTGTCCACTTACCCTGAAAGAAATAGCGAGCTATTCTCAGACTGGTTCTTTCAACACAGAGTGTACCCAAGCATGGGCTAGTATTCCTGAAAAGAACGGGGGACATGGAAGATGAGGAACTTCAGACTATGTTCCCAAAGTTTCACATGTATAGAAATACAAAAGAACATTCCAGAAGTACCAATATAGGTTCCCAGCCATAATGCATATGTCAGAGCTTTTAAGTCAACCCCAAGGTCATATGTGTATTATTATAAAAGGTAAATGGCATATGGCCTGGTCAAGTACAGACCAAGAAGGAGAGTGGATGATGTCAGTTCTCTCCAGGGAGGATTCTTACCGATTCTCCAGATGTCCCTTGACTGAAATGACACAAAGGATGAGTCCTTACCTGGAAGGGCCATCATGGACTTGAGAACACTGGCAGTGCTAGGGATGGTGGGTGTCTGAGGATGATTAGAAATGCATGTGGTGCTTCTAAGGACACACACACAGACACACACTATTATTCCCTCTTTTATCTCTGGAAGTTTTCAGACTCCATTTTACTTGGGATTAGGTACTTTTAGATTAAATAAATAAAAAGAAAAAAAGATACTGCTGTTCCCACAAAAGACACCATAGATTGTCTGGGCCATTGCTGGGGTGAGGAAACCAGAGGGTAGGTAGGTTGTTCCTTGGGAGTGGGTTGCTGGAAGTGAACATTCTTGAGTGCTTGGGAGTCTTGTTGCTGTTGCAGTTGTGGGCAGATCCTTCTAAGGGTGTGGAGGAGCAGATGTGGAAAGCCATTTGGGTCCACTTTATATCTCAGATTCTATAACTCAGTCCCAAAAGTGATGTTCAAGTAAGCAGCCCCAATTTATTAAGGCATTAAGACTAGACCTAGATGTCATAGGAAAGAATAGTAGATCTCATTGATAAATGCTTTGGGTTTGGTAGTGTTTCAGAAGTGGATATCGTACATGAACCTGGAGCTTAGAGTTGCAAACTCTTGTCTTCCAAGGCCAAATGTATCACAGAAATGGGTCCTCAGTCTCACCCTGACACATACTCCACTCCTCTTCCAGTCTGCTCCAGCATCTTCAGGCTGGGGTGGAGCGCTGGAGCAGAGGGAAGACGGCAACAGATGGTTTCAGCACCAGGGGCAGGACAGCACATGCCCCAGGGCAGGGAGAGCCCTTCCACCAGGGGCGGCTGGGGGCTGCTGGTCACTCTACTTAGCTATGCCTGGTGAAAGAAGGTCCCCAAGAAGGCACAGAGCAGCCCTGCTCTCAGTTCCCCTCTCCTGCCTTATTCCTTTCCCTGGATCTGCCCTTGCATCTTGGAGCTCAAGGCTCATGTCCTGACTGGCTTTTCTATAGACAGCTGCATGAGGGTGTAGGTAGGGGTGTCAGGGGGGAGAAAGGACAAGCCCTAGCCCTGGCAGATGGTGGTGGCAGAGATTTCCCCCATAAACTACCCTCTCGCTCAATCTTTACAACAGGCTCTCGGGTCTGAACAAACAGAAGCTTTCGACCCAGAGGTGATAGGGAGAGGAAAATAAGGGGAAAGGGCCCTGGCGGGGGGCCTAGCAAGCCCAAAGGCTCAGTCACTCAGCCCTCTGCCTAACGCGCCAGACTGTTTGAGGAGCAAATATCTGCCCTCACTGTCTGACTCTCTCAGCTGCCCCCTCCGTGTTTGGGGCTAATTGTCCCTCATTAGCTGATCCCAGTCCCCAGGCTGCTGCCAGCCCCCGCCATCTGCTCACAATTATACATTAACTCAGAGGTCTTGTCACAAGCCAGCCAGGCTGTGCGCCCCTCTCCTGGGTTAGCCAAGGCCATTCCAGCTCCTTCCTCACCTGGATGTAGAGAGCCTGGACCGTTGGCTCCTGCCTTTGGGGAGCTCCTGGTATAGGGGTCTGTGACTGTGGTAAAAGTTCTATTCTTAGTAGAGATGGCTAGAGTTCCTCCCTGCTTTCCTCGCGAGGCTAAAAGGCGAGCTAACCCGTGCGTAAAGCTGGAGAGGACTGGGCGCGGCTGGCGCACAGACCCGCTGACTTTGTCTGGCACCTCCCTGGGAGCTCTTGGCACCTGTTGGAGACAGTGATGCCAGTTCTAGGCTGTTTCACCCCTCTCTCTGGTGCCTTTGTGTAGGCTATGGGGTCCTGGTCCTCATCTTCCCCCTCTAAAGACAGCCTAATCTCCTGCCAGCCCTCAGCTTTCCAGAGCGCACGCGCCACCTATCCAAAAATCATTCTCCTGCAGCCGGCACCTCCCACTTTCAAGTTCAAACGGTTCCTCTGTTGCAAAAATATGGGAGTTCTTCGAATTCCCTGGATATTCCCGAGCGCAGAAGTCACGCTAAAGTTGCATCCTCCACCCCACAAAGTTTCAGACAGTCATTCTACTCCCCCAGTCCTGATTTTCCTCCATTGTCAGACTCTGTCTGCCTGCATCCCCCCTTTGCTCTTCAGCTCAAGTTCTCCAAGGCCCAGGTCCTTCCTCTGCTGCCCCCAGAAAGACAGAGAAAAGCGCACTTTCCATCCCGCTTTGGAGTAGGAGCGCAGGAAAAAAATCCTTTCCTCTGCTCTTTTGCACAAGCCCCTCATCTCTGAGCTCAAGCCTGACCCAAGTTTGATACAAAACTAGGGTAGGTCAGCTGTAAGCCTATACTTCCCTAAGACAGATTCGCACCAGACGCGGGAAGTTCAGAGAGACTAGAGCCACTGGAGACAAGACAAGGAAGCCCACTGGGTGTGAATGGACGGATCTGGAGTTTCCCGCCAAACACTGTGCCTGCAATCACAGTGAGACAGAACCTAAGGGTGACATTGTTCCAGCCACCAGCCCTGCGAACTAGAATTCCCTGGGAATTGCTAAGGCTACCCTCACC